TTTTGTTGACCTTTGTCCATGGAAGGTCCCTGCAAAATTTCATTGAAATTGGTTCAGGGGTTTTGGAGAAGAAGTCGAAAATGTAAATTGTTTACGGACGCACGACGGACGACGACGGACAAAAGGCGATCGCAACAGGTCACTTGAGACTTTGTCTCAGGTGACCTAAAAATGGTGACCTTTATCCCAACAGCGAGCTTTTTTATTTGACCTTTTTTCAAAATTAGGGGCTGACCAAAAATTTAGCCCTGAAGGTTATCTACCTATAATATAATTGCATCAATTCTGTAAATTAAACCGTTTTTGAGTAATGGCCATTTTACGATTTTGACCTATGACGTCATGGCGGCCATATTTAATTGATGACCTCCTTGCAAATGTTGCTAGATCAGCTTCAGACCTTTTCCTACAACATACCTAAAAGACTATATACCTATCTTTTACCAATCAAAAGAAACAGAATTCACAAAGTATGGAAGAAGAAGAAGAAGAAGAAGAATACAACAAACATTTAATCAAGGCAATGTATCTGTTTTCTTGAAGAGCTCCATCCTAACAATTATTTTTTGGAATTTTTCATACATTTGATATTTTTGCTAATTGTTTAGGGTTTAACCTCTCAAAACAGCTAAGGTTGAATGCATACGAAAATAGGTGCCAGGGGAGACAACTTCAAAAAAGAAATATAAGGACTAAAAGACTATATAAAGTTATAGGTGGCGCAAGTATCTACTGTGCAATTCCACGTTAAGCAAATTTCGTAGTATGCGCAATCCCCTAGAATAAGATACCTGCGTTACCTTACGCATGTGTCAAAAATGTAGAGGAGTGAGAAAAGATATACATATATCTTAGTCGCAACGTGAGCAGCAGATCAATTCTTTTTTTCTAATCTCTCCTTCGCCGAAAATATAGAAGAAACACCCAAATCTGTAGGAGCTCCACATTATTTGCCTCTTTTAATTATGATAGTGGGATACAGCAGGTATCTTTCCCGAACCTGCACAGACCTCATACATTTGAAATGTACGCAAAGCTCTGGTTATTCTAAACAAGAGGCCCAAGAGGGCCTGTATCGCTCACCTGAATATTTAAGCAGTCATAGCAAAATATTCTCATTAAATATTATATTGCACTAAAACTATTTTCCTCGCAAACTTTGTTGGCTCCATCTGTTGAAACTACCAGCAAAATATTATTATAAGATTCTATGCTTTTTGATTCTTCTTCAGAAGTTGCTTGACATACTTTTCCCTGTGATCTTGTAAGTAGGTCAATGTCATTTTCCTTCTCAAATTGGTTAGCTCTATTCCAAAAAGCTACCAGCCAAATCTTATGATTCCATTCCTTTTAGTTCTCAAGAACAAATCCATTAAAATGTTGTTGACCTCTGTGACCTCTAAAGTAGGTTGAGGTCATTTTCATTTGCAAACTTTGGTGAGCTCTATCCCGGGAAGTCACCAGCCAAATATTATAATTTTATGCCTTTTAATTCTTCAGAAGAAGCTGTTTGAACTGTTTG